AAAAAAAAATATAAAAAAACATTTTAAAAATATATTGAAAAAAAAATTGTCAGATAATTTAGGAGGCGGGTTAGACCCCGGCTTACCTTTCAGCGCCAGTCCGCTTGAACAAGGAGAAATAAATTAATACATGAGGAGTCCACTGGAAAAACGGGCATAATCATAAACTGAAAACTGTGAGGGTATCAATTTTAAAAGCTTGTTGACTTATAACTTCATATTTGTTTGATTGGTGGTTTATTCTATATATGCTTGTTGGATGGGAAATCTGACAACTATAATCAACCAACAGCTGAACAGAAATACAGCCATGAGTCAACAAGTGTTCAAAATTGATACCCTTACGATTTTCAGCTTGTGACTATGCCCGTTCTTTCTGTGGACTACTCACATTATAACAGTTGATTTATCAACAGCATGTAGAGGGGAAATTATTATATCATCTCATGTGTTCTTTCTCAGTAGTATTAACAATGGTTGTGTTCTTTCTCAGTAATATTAACAATGGGAAATAGATAAACGTACGCAAAATTTCTCAGTTGTACAAGCAGGGGAAGATAAACCAACATGCATACTTTATCAATAGCATAAACATTTTTATTTTAAAAATAGATCAAAATTAACCAGCATATACATACAGCAACATAATAATATGGCATGTTTCGTGTGTGCTTCTGGGAAATACCAACAAGAAAGAGAAATAACCTAACGTGAGTTCTCCCCCTGAGTTCAGTGACGTCGATTGCCTTGTGGTTAGGCTACTAGACTCGTAGTCTTGAAATTGCGGGTTCGGGGGTTCGAGCCTCAGCTAGGTCCGACGTTGCGTCCTTGGGAAAGGCACTTTACACCAATGTCCCACTTGGTCCTGTCCTTTCGGAGACAAACGTTAAACTAGGAGGTCCCGCCCCTAAATAACCTAATAGTGTTGATAGGGGCGTTAAACCTCTACCATTTCACCATTTTCACCCCTTGTGTTCCCAGCGGACACAGACTGGCAGATGGTGTTTCGAGCCACCCGAGGCATTGGCGTCAGGGCCTACGATCATTGGATGAATTCCAGTTACCATGACGACAACTTTGACCTTGCTTCCTCCATTCCGATTGGCTGTCTAACCGTTGACACTTCCCTCCCCTGTGACCGACACTTCCGGACCAGGGCACTGGACGAGTGGAAGGACGTGAAATATGTCAGTACAGTTAGTAGTACAGGATCAATAATATAGTGTAAAGCGCATAGAGCCTGCAGTTGAGCGGGGATATGCGCTATACAAATGTTATTTAT